AAGTCTTTGTAATAATTTTCATGTTACATTCTATGAACCCTGCATCACTGCCTATTAAAATTTTTGTCCTTACACTTGATGAAAGCAGCTTTCCTCTAAAATCATTTCAGCAGCTTTCCAAATTCATATTCATCTTTGTAACTACAATGATTTGGGGGGCATACATTGGGAACCACCCTTGGTTTCAGAAGCTATAACCCCTCATGGCTAAGGCTGAATAAAAGACCTTGGAACCCTAAGCCACTCAGCAGACAAAGCTTATCTCCCTGGCAGAAGCACTGCCTCTGCCCACCTGACTTCACCCTGCCTGGCCCCCAGTGCATGACCGGTTAGCCAATGACAGGTAAGATTCCTCAAGGGAGGGACCACCTAAGACAGGCACAGTCACTAGTGGCCCTCAAAGAAGGACTTGGGGAGCTACTGAAAAAGGGGATGATGGACCCTCGTCCCTCAGCTTTGACATAGTCTGGTGAGTCCTCACTCTGTCTGCAAGCAGTCTCCTAATCTCTTTGCTGCCTTACTTCCCCTGCTCCACCTAAGCCTGAAACAATGCAGGAGTGGGTACGGCCCTGTGCTGGAAAGAGCAGGTTCCCTGGGGGCCATCAGGACTAAGAAAGAACACATAAAATCCCGTGAAACCTGCTTTGCTAATACCCTCAATTTAAATGATAAGGGTCCAAGCCTGAAATGAGTTTGTTCCCCAAGTTTTATGGCCCTTCTCCTTTGAGAGATCGGCCACCTTTCCTTCCCAATTAGACCATGTTTTGGGAGACTTATTCTTATCTCTGGCGGCAAGAGTGAGGTGAGTTGGGGGCGGGGGAGGCCTGCAGGGAGAGCCCCCCACAGGCACATAATGCTCAAAGTTGATTTCATACAGATGCTAATTACTATGTTTACACACTTGGGGGGAGGGAGAAGAGGGCTTAACAGCAACCCAAATTATCCTTTGGTTTGTAGCAGTAAATACAATATGTATGCCAATAATTACATTAATATTTCTCCTAGTAAGGCGGTTCAATCGCACATAAGGGTGTAAATCACTAAAAAGATGAAGTTACTATGCAAAAATGATCAGACTATTTATTGGATGCACACATGTATTTATTTTAGCTTGTGTTGTAGAACTCTACATGCATCTTTACATTTAACCTACAGAATTTCTGACATTCTTATCTACTAGTAAAGCTGTCAATCACACGGTGACCATTCCCAAGGTCAACATACCTCTCTCTTCATAATCCACCCTTCCCTTCACTCCCATGCTCAGACAACCACTGATCTGATTAGCATGCATTTTCTATAATTTTACAGAAATTAAATCTTATAGTACTTTTTAAGAAACTGCCAAATCATTTCCTAAAGTAGTTTATTCACTTTCCATTCTCACCAGCCACATGAGAGTTCTGGTTTCTTCACAGCCTTGTCAGGGTTTGGATATCAAAATTATGCCAATTAAAAATGAGCCGGGAAATGTGTCCCCTTCTTTATTTACAAGAATATGTGTAAAAGGCTGAAATTATGTCTTTCTTAAATGTTAAGGAGAACCATCCAACGAAGCTATAGGAGCCCAGAATTTTCTTTACAGGATGATTAATGACTAATTCAATTCATGTAATGGTTATAGAACTATTTAGAGCTCCACTTTTTTTTCTTCCATCAATGTCAGGTAGGTATTTTTCTAGGAATTTCCCCCTAACACCCCATTAGGACCTTTGTGCTTTATCACCCTCAACGTCCTTAAGGTTTTACGTCAGTTTAAAAAGTAGATTTACCTTTCATTTTTAAAAGCATATAATTTTTATTCTCACATAATGTCCGAGGACATTTTTCCATTACTTTTCGAGAGAGAGAGGAAGGGAGAAACATCAGTGCAAAAGAGAAGTACTGACTGGCGGCCTCCCGAACTTGCCTGGATGGGGGATGGTCTGGGCGTCACACCTGCCCTGCCCAGACCGGGGATCAAACCAGCAACCTTTACCATACAGGACTACACTCCAACCAACTAAGCCACACCCACCAGGGCTATTTTTAAATTTTAATCCACTCAGTCAATATTTTTCAATTGTGACCTTTCACAATTCTTTGAAATGTGACTTATTTACATTTTAATGGAATTACTTGAGGTAAGGACAAACAAGGACTTTCTGGCTTCCCAATTTCTGTATCATTAAATAAGAACAAAGCTACTAAAGACTGAAACGAAGCAATCTAAAAATTCCCAGTGACACGCTATCTCCTCTATTTGAATAAAAACTACATCAAATTGATAGAGCACCCTTTAATGTGTAGCCTTTTATATTGTAATCAGATATATTTTATTCTCCACCTTTGATTGCTAAGAAGATTTTGTCTTAAAAGAGCAGACTCAAAGATAGATAACACTTGTACAGTGGTTACCATGTGTCACTGTTATTAAGTTCTATAGTATACTAACCCACTCAATCCTCAAAACTACCCCAAGTAGGTATTGTTTTTGAGTGGAGGAAACATCACACAGCTATCTAATAAATGCTGTTCAATTCAAATCTAGACCACGGACCATTTCATTATGCACTCTCGTAGATCAGGGGTGTCCCAGGGTGTTCACCTGGGACATCAGCCTCACAATTACCTTTAATGGGCCAAATGTATTTAGGACTGTATAAATATGACTACTCCTTAACCAGGGGCAAGGAGCTTGGCGCTGCCACCAAGTAAAACAAGATGGAGGGCCGAATTTGGCCCTTGGGTCTTGTGTTTGCCACCTGTGTTCTAGATGACCCTTACAAAATCTCTGGGAGTCCACATCACATCACCCTTCTAGTGACCAGACTCCAGTGATTCCCTCTTGCCAGGTCATGGACTTATAGGTGATTTATCTAGCATGTAATCTTTTGTTAGGTACTTTTTTAGCTTCTTTGTAAAATAACCCCTCTGGTTCACCCTTACTTGACTGACAGTTCACTTGAAGAAATATTCCCAGAAAGGTTACCAATGGACTTCTCAGTTAAATTGGATTAAACTTTTAGTTCTTAGTGATTCCACCTACAACAGCTGAAATGCGCTGCAAGACTCTCAAAATAGTGGTTTTACGAATATTAAATGGCACTACACCATGAATTGTACAACACAGAATATTCTGCCCCGAAGATTAAACTTTTGCCATTGTTTTAGAGCCACACTCACATAGTCAAATAATTTCTACTGATAAAAGTACACAGGAAGCACTTGTCCCCAAATATTTGAAGAAGCTGCCTTTTTCTATAAGCCTTTCTGTCCCTCCTGGATTCAGGGAACTTTTCACCACCAACAAACAAACAAACAAAAAGGCCCAAACTTCAATTTTGGGGTTTGTACACAAGAACCTGGGAAGGAAAAACCCCCTTCCTTATTGTAAAGAACGTGTTCTTAGCAAGAAAGCTTCAAAACATTTACTGAGCCTCAGCAAAACAAAGTTACTCATTTAATAAGATTTTCAAGATAATCCAACCACAATCGTTTTACCAAACGCATATCACCAACAGCAGGGAGGTTTCCCACTTGTGAAATGGAGGAAATACTTAGCTTCCCCATATTGGTACAAAAGTAACTGCTTCCTGTAACATACACATAAAAGTGTTTAGAACTGAGCCTGGCAGATACTAAATATTTTAAATGTTGCACAAAGCTCGAAAAATGAGACCTGTGACAATCACGCAGCTTTTCTACCGGAGAATTAATCCTGCAAGACCTAATGTCTTAAAGTTCCGGCAGCACGTGTCTTCCCGGAATCGCTTCTCCAGTTGCTTTTTGTGAGGGACAGCGATCAGCCCAGCCAACATTCCTGAAACGCCTATTGGCTCACACCCTGGGGCCAGGCTCTCAGTGGGGCCCAGGAGCTCATTGGTTGTCCAAGCTCAATGAAGCGGCCACGCCGGTCTCTGCGCCGCACCGCCACAACTCGTGCGCCGAGGAGCTTAGAAAGGCTAGGGGTGTCTAGCGGGCTGGGTGCCGCGATGAACAGGCCCAGGCACCTGCGGAACTGCCCGCGCTTTTATTTGCGCTTGGATCACCCGAAGACCACTGGAAGACCTCTCGCTTTCTGCGCAGGCAGCCCAGCTCTCTCATACAAGTGCCGGGGTGGGAGGCTGGGGCCCCAGATTCCAATGCTGGTTTAGGCACTCAAGATACCATGCCCGGAGCTGGACGGGCCTGCTCCCTGTAAATGCAGGTAAACCTCGCACCCCGCCGGAACCCCACCAGTTCGGTAACAGATTACACCAACCAAGGTCGGCAGACTCCGTAGCAAGCCCCGGCGGGCTCCGCAAGCGTCTCCGCGGACGGCCCCAAAAAGGCTTTGGTGCAGAGCATGTTAGGGCGGCGGTGGGGCCCTGCCACTGCGACACCACCGCTCCCCTCGAATTCCCGCTGCCCGGGAGCCACAAGCTGACATTTCGGACCAAGAGCGGGAGGTCTCAAGACAGCCCCTCAGCCCCAGACCCGCAGGGGGCTTCCTCCTACCCGCTGCACGCGGCGAGGACAAGTCCGGTTCAAACCCGCTCCCTCCCTCCTCCACTCCCCGAAGTGGGCACGCCCGAATTAGCGCCTGACTAAGCCCGCGGAGCCACACCTGCCCAGAGAGCTCGCGCGGCTCCTAGACGCCCAGCCCTGGGGGCTCGGACCCTCAGCGCCAGAGGGGAAAGTCAGAGGCTCGGGCGCCAAACTGCCCTGAGCGGCACCGCCCACCGCTCAGCCGGGGACGTTACCTGAGCACGAGGCGGCACCGGCCTCTCCCCTCGCCCCAGGCAGCGCCCGTGCCCCCGCAACGGCTGCGGGAGAAACCAGCTCAGCCCCCCATGTGAAGACGGCTGCTCCCCCCAGCACCAAGGTCCCTCTCCACAGCGCCAAACGACTCCCGAAGGCGGACCTGCCCCCACCTGAAGGCTGCGGGAACCCGGCCCCCGACTTACGCCAGTGGTTAGTACCTTAAGAGGCAGCGACAGCCCCAGACCAGACTGTGAGCGAGAGCTCCCTGCACCCACCTTGGGATGGTGCGAAGATCCCCAGATCCTTGATTTGCGTCAGGTTGCTGCCTGGAGAACCAAACCTCCAGTAGCTTCTCGGTCCCTTCGAAAAAATGTGCAGCTTCCATCACCGTGAGACTAGCGAACAACCAACAACCACAGAAAATCAACTAAATTAAATCTCTTCTCCTGCCGCTGCTGCGGATTGTTTCAGCTGTTACTAAAGTTCAGGTTCCTTTTTTTTTTTTTGCTATAATTTTATATTAACTTTTTTTAAAAAAGGATTAATAAAATTTCCCCGGCTTTTTTGTGAGCTAAAGTTGAACGTGAGTCTGTTGGATATAGAGGCAGATACAGTTCAGTCTCTTGCAGTCCGCCGTTTCCCCGTTAGAGAGAGCAGAGCGAGCGCTAGCTAATGTCGCCGGCCATACTGTGGAAGCGAGAGTACTGCGTGAGCAGCGAATTTATATACCTCATCTCCCTTGAAAGGCCAGGAAGTGACGCACGTCCCGCCCCTGAGGCTCATAGCTGTAGCGGCCTGTCAATCACCAGCTGCCAGGTTGCTGCTGGCTGGCTGCGGGCCTGCTCAGAGCACGGAGAGCTACCCGCCTCACCGCTGTTCGCGATCGCGCTGCTCCTTGGGCGGGAGGCAGCTCTATGTTGTCCGGCTGGGGATTAGAAACCTGGCCTCGAATGCAGAGTGGGTGGGGAGAGCGGGAATAGAGTGAAGAAAAGCTGTGCAGCTATGCGTGAAACAATTGATTAGCCGATAGCATGGGTGGGTCCTTAGGAAGATTGGCGGGTTTCGGTGGGGGCGGTGGCCATTGCTGCGCTGCTGTGGTGGTTTTGATCTTGCGCATTTCGCCGCGTTTCCCGAGGTAGTTGGCCATTCCCTGAAGTGTGTTCCTCACAGTGAACGAAGCCGGGCATCAAAACTCAGTGTTTGTTTGTGACGCATAGGTTGCCAAGGATCGGATTAGAAGGCACTTTAATTCTGCTTACGCGTTAGCTGATTTTAGAACGAACTGTTCTTGACCCGTTTACACAATAGCCAGAAACATTGTCTCCCTGTTTAAAAAAAAAAAAGGAAAAGCAACGTGGCTCCCAACCCTGGAGGGCTCCGGTTCTACCTACCTCCCACCCTGTGGCTTGCCAAAGCCTGGAGTTGGCTGAGCACGGCAGCTGCCATGAAGCACTGGCAACTCCATGCTCCATTAGGTCAACTGGTGGGAATTTATTCAGCAAAACTATCTCTAGAAACGGACTTATTTAATATAATATGCGATTGTTTGTTAATATTTTCCTTTGAATTGTCTGAAGATTATGAACTAGTTTAAATAAGTGCCCACCACCTCCAATATTTACAATGCTACCATCTTAGTGCGTGAGAATATACATGGAAATTAATATAACAAGGATTCAAAGCTATTAGTGGTTATTTAAAGAATCATGTATATAGTAGTTGAGTAATCAAAGTGTGGAAACAGTTGTAAAGTGCTATTCAGTTTAATCTGAGGTAACAAAATTGTGGTAGCAAATTTATGACTTTTACTCAGAGGTATGGGGCGGGGGGAGAGGCCAACCTCACACAAAAACTAGCATTGTGACAAGACGAAAGACTTCTCTATCCTTAAAGAAAGACTTTCCCGAAGTAAAAGTGAAATACGATAATGTAAGCGTGAAAAACCTAATGAAAAAAAGACATGGTTTGAGTTTGCACTCTAGACTCCCTGCAGGGTAGAACTTGTCTTAGAAAAATGTTTATTTGCATTTCTCCATAAAACCTGTTGAAAGAAGTTGCGTTGTGCGGTAGGTACATATACTGCTCTTGCCATGTTTTTAAAAGCATCCAACACAAATTGGGGATTGGGACAAAAGATAATAAATGTTGCTTACTATATTGTAATAATAATTCTAAGAGAATGTGGTAGTTACACTTGGAATAAAGATAAAAGTAGTATTTATGTGGTTTACAAGCTATTCAGTTATTTAGATGTTGCTTATTGAAATGAATCAGTTTACTAAACCACCTCAAACACTAATTGTGGTATAAACATAATTTGGCTGATAATTGCTTATAATTAGTTGCTTTTCAATTACTATTATGCTTTTTCCCAATGCTATTTAAGTTAACATAAAAGTGCCAAGAATCTTGGCAAGGTAAGTCCTTGTTAGTTTGATATAGGAAAAATTTTAAAAGTGTCTACCAACTGGCCCAGTCCTTTGTAACATATATTATTTTTCCTAAGTGATGCCCTCAGATGATTTACTACAGAGCAGCCAGAGTGAGTTTTTAAATATAATTTCAGTTTGACAGTTTTAAATACTATTCTAAAATTCTCCAATGGTTTCCTATTACACTTAAAAGTAGAATATTTTACCTTATCCTTCAAACTCCTATATGACCTGATCCCAGACTAAACAAGTTCATTTCCAGCATTCACTCCCTGTGCCCCCATAATTCTGACATTTCTCCTTATTGATCCTTCTCATTTGTCAGAAATGCTCTTTCTCCTCCTCTTTGTATGGCTTGTTCATTTTTGTCACTTAGATCTTAGCTTAAATGTCACCTTTTCTGAGAGGTCACCTGTAGTAGTATGGCATAGGCTAAGCTACTATAACAAAGAGATCCCCAAAGATAGTAATTTAAAAAAGATTATAGTTTATTTCTCTCACACATAACAGTTCAGAGGTAAACAGGTGTTTGATGAGTGGGCAGCTTGGCCCCATGAAATTATTCAGGGACCCAGGTTCCTTCTACTCTGTTGTTACCAAAGAGTTGTAAACTTCATTTACACGATTAAAGCTAGCCTACATCTGTTTATATTCCAGCCTGGAAAAAAAGGGGAAAAAGAGATTGTGGAGAAAAACAATTTCCTTATGAAAACAAGACCAGGAAATTGTAATATTAGCTCTGCCCATTTAGTCACATGTTCACACCTAGCTGCAAGGGAGGCTGAGAAATATGGTTGCTACCTGGGTAGCTAGTTTCCTGGTCAAAACTTGGGCAATTCTACTACTAGAGGGAAAGTGGGAAAGAATGGGTATGGGGGAAAATTTACAGGTTTGCCACAACTTTCGATACCAACTACTCTGTAGTACCTAGCTAGTCCTGTATAGGACCAGCTAGGTACTTAACACGTCATTCTGCTTTAATTCTTTACATAATTCTTGTTATTCTCTTGTATTGGTTGATTCTCTCTTTACTAGTTGATTGCTAGCTCCTTCTCACCTTCAGGTTATACTTTAAGCTACATAGAAGCTTTGCTTAATACTTAATAACATTGTTACAGAACAGACTGGGGGGGTGATGAGAGATATAAAAGATCCCCCTTTTCTCTGGGGCTTCCTCCTCCATACTAGGTTCACCTTGCCTGCTGCCAGAGGAAAGATATCCCTTAATTCCAGAGATTGGTGAAAAGGAAAGGAATTATTTATTTAAAAGTTATACAGACTAAAGTTCTTTAGAATACCCACAAACACAGTCCTTCCTTCTCCTTCTGCCCAGTCTGCAGTACCATATCTCAGGAAAGAGGTGGGAGTCTGCCATTCAGGCTCCTGGCACCACTCACATGGCAAAACGGGAGCACTTCCAAAGCTGCCTGGTCCCCAGAAAGATACCAAATGGCTGCCACACCTGGGTTTAAATCCCAGTGCCAATCTTCCTCTGCAGCCTCATTCCTGGCTCCTCCCATAGTTGGTCACAGCTGCCAGCATTCTAGGCAGGCGTGGCCCTGTGGTGTGGAGCCAATCATCTCCAAGCTCTTCTGGACCCCATTACAAATCCCTATTTGGGGCCCCCTCTTGGCTGCACCCTGTTACAAATCCCTTCTTTCAGATAAACAATCACTTAATAATCATATAAAGGGCAATGGATGAAGGTCTCATCTTCTTATAACTACTGCAGGCTAGACATGGACATTGTCCTGCCTACGCTTGGGTCAGGGGTACCCTGAAAGGAGGGGGTAGGAGCAGCATGGAGGGAAGGGGAATGAACCTTCCTGTAAGGGAAGGACCTTACAGAATCCAGGTCAGTTGGCTGTCATCAGGAAGTTGGCAGCTTGATGTCCAAAGGCAACATTACTGGACAGTTAGCATCCTTGTTGTATTCTGTAGGTAAAGAATGGCTTATCTGGAGGAAGATGTACAAGATATGCTACTCCTATCAAAAACCCTTGTGGCCCACTATACTGAACTTGGGCTGAGGGTAATATATTAGGATTTCCCTCCTTTCAGATCTCTGGGCTCTTTCTGTCTGAGCCTTTGGGACAGAAAGGGAGAATCAGTTCTAAAGTGAAACCCACAGAGTGCTCCAACCCAACCACTTAGTTTAGTAAAACCACTGAGTCTCAGGGAGCGACGATGAGGATGGGGTCCTTAAGTGAGGCCTATATTGCAACCAGTCACTCAAGTAATGAGGTCCTAGGCATATGCCCTATGAAAACAGAAGGAGGAACACATGTTAATTTACACAAAAACCCCAGCCAATCTCTGTGCCTGTGAGACTGTCTTTGGGAAGACATCCAGTTGCAAGGCCCTTGCTGCAATGACATCTAACAGTGGCAATTTGACAGGTCCTTCGTGCCTGTAAATTGAACATTTTTGGTGATATTACAAACCCAGGCTTAACTTTCAAGTGAAAAACAAACTTTCAAGACAGTAGCTGTGCCATTATGATGTCCAATACTGAGCATTGTGATTTTCTTTGAATCACAATTTTTCCCCTTAAGATCACCCTTATTGTTACTAAAGGAACTACATTGAGTCCAGCTTTTAACTGTTTGCCTGTTTGTTTGCATAAACACACGAAGACCAGCCTGGACCACCTACAATCTTTAATTCCACTTTGCTGGAACTTACACAGGGAACCTTTAGATTGACTTCTCAGTTTGCCCCTCCGGACACAGAAGCAGAGCCACACATCTGCCATCTGGCTTTGCCTGTATTGATTGTTTCACTCAAATCCTTGAGGCTTCCATTGTGCCTATATGTTACTTTTTAGCCATCTTTCAGGAAAGCAACCTCATTCTTTTCTGGAAAGACTGCCAACTAAGGTACCAGGCTTTTTCTTGTGGGCTTTTGCTAGCTTCGCAAGTCAATCCCAGTTCCTCAGTGCTTTCTGGTAACAACCAGAACCCAGACATGCCTCCATTGGGCATGACATTCCAGCCAAAATCTTGGTTAACAAAACCACCGTTGATGACTGGTCATAATGGATTTATGCAAAGAAACCTTATGTCATCACTCATTACTTCAGAATGCCAAATTCTGGAGGGATCAGGTAGAGAGAAAAACACAAAGTGTGAAGAAAAATCCTTTTCCTTCTGATATCCTTTTATATACCTTGAGATGTGTCCTTTGCCTCAGGCTGAAACACTCATCAGCCCTGAATGACCCTTCCTGGATCCTGAGTGGCAAAGGCATTCTCTCCAACCGGTTACAGGCAAC